ATTTAAATTGTTTATACATGTTTGAATTCATTGATAAAATATATAGGTTTCTTAATAAGTCGATTTTCAATTTTCAATTTAAAATTACTTTTAAATAACCATTTTTTTTTTAGAAATCCCATAAAATAATTGCATTACATTTGTATTTATTTTGGGCAAATCTGATTTTAAATTTAAAAAAGCGGTTCCTAAGAAGCATAGTATAGAAGTTTATAAATTCAACCATTTTTTCGAAATTACAATCAAACTTCGGGAAGTATGATTAATTTACTACTGCTTTTAGTAGTTTTATAGTCATGCAAACAAGAATATATTGGATTTTTCTCGATACATTGACATGTGCGTGCGCGTGTGAGAGTTGCTTCCGGCGTTACACCCGACTCGACGTGCAGCGATTCTCGGAAACGATAACGGATACTAAAGTTAATTTACTACTTACACACAGATACAGTATTAATTTATATGTCACATGAATTGCCTAAATAGTACTCCTTAAAATATTGTACGGTGCAGCCTCCTTAAATTACATTTTAAACGATTTTATTTTTTTTTTTTTTTTTAATATATCTGGATAATACCCATCCTTTTGTTATCTGTTTTACATACGAGCGACATAATAAAATACATTCATTCACTAGTTACAATAGTGTGCTGTGAGTTTTGATATTAGAGTAATAGAGTGTATTAAACTTTTAGTTGAGCACATTATCTGTGCTTAAGCGTCATCTTTTATTCCATATTTTAATTTTCAAGCGGGATAAGAGTACTTTTAATTTGTGATATTTCATATCTTGCTTGAAAATTTAAATATCGAATAAAAGTCGAAGCTTAAGCACAGCTAATGTTCTAAACTAAAAGTTAAATAATAGGTAAATATTAATAATTGACCATCACCATTCACTCTGATATAAAAACTAACAGAACATTATTGAAACTAGTGAACGAAAATTTGATATGTCGTATGTTTGTAATACGGAGACAACAAACGCATGTGTAGTATAAATACTAGTATACTTTTAATAAAAAAAAATATAAACATTCTAAAGTAGGGTTTAATTAATAATTATATACTACCAAAAAAAGCACAAAAAGTGAAATTTTGAAATGTAAAAATAAATTTTTTTTAATTGTTTTGTAAGGCTATAATAAGTTTGGCAGTGTTAACTATTTTTTAGATTCTGAGCGGAGCGATGAATGTATTGGTTTTACAATGATGTGTGTTTTTATATTTTTATATTTTATATTTTTTGTGTCTGTCATCACGTTTTGGGACAGTAAAAGTGCTTCGATTTTCTTCAATAGTACCTTTTCTGATAGGAAAGTGAATCTAGTTGGTACTTTGGGGGGTCAAAAGTAAACATTTTCCAGTAGTTTTCACAAGCGCCGGGAAAAACAACATAAAAATTAAGGAAAAACGGGAATTTTTACGCAAAATCGATTTTCCAAAAAATCGAATTTGGTTTTTGGTGTAACTTTAAAACAAATGACCGTAGATACATGAAATTTTCACTGGTTGTTTATATTTGCATTTTCTATACACGATAACATTTTCAAAATATTTTGATTTATTTTGAACTGTTTAGGGACATTTTCATTTTTCATTTTTTTTTTAGTTTTTTTTCTAGAAATATCAATAAAATTTTATTTGTTGGTTGCGAAAGCTTGAAAATTTAATAGAAGGCTCCTAATATGTTGTTTTAAAGGCAGATGAAAAATATTAAAAATTCTTAGTCACAATTTTTTTTTATAAGCATTTAAAGTTCAAAAATTTACAAAATATGGAAAAATCACGAAAATTAGCAAATTATTTTGAGTTAAGAATTCGTAAAAATTTTTCTTTTTAAATCTAAGATTTGAAAATGAAACACAAGATTCCTTATAAGATTATCTACCTTTATCAATAAAAAAATCTCTACCGGACAGTCAAGTTAAATTTTTATGAGCGTTTGAAATTCAAATTTTTACAACATTGGATATTCACTCGATTACTCATGTAGCGATTTCCTTATTTTATTGCAATTCAAAAACGAACAACTGTAGATACATGAAAATTTCACTCAATGTTTAAATTAGCATTTTCTATACACCATACAATTTTGAAAATATTTTGACTCTTTTTGAGATGTTTATGGACATTTACAGCTTTCAATTTTGTTTAGTTTTTTTTTCTATAAATATCAATAAAGTTTTATCTGTTGGGCCAAAAAGTGTAAAAATTTAATACAATGCTCCTGATATATTGTTACAATAGCAGTTGAAAAATATTAAAAATACATAGGCACAGTTTTTTTTATAAGCATTTAAAGATCAAATTTTGACAAAATTTATCAAAATCTCGAAAATTATCAATCATTGTAATTAATAAATTATAAAATGTTCAGTTTTTATAGCTAAGGATTGCAAATTCAACACAAAGGTTCTCGTAAATAGTTCATACTGTAACCAAAAAATCTAAAAATATATGAACACACTTATTTTTTACAGACATTTTAAATTCAAATTTGGACGAAATTACATATTAAAAAACCTAGAATAACTGTTTTAGTTATTTTGTTGTGATTGAATAATATTATTCGTGGGTACTTGAAACTTCTAAAGTGTACTATTATATATCTATGATAGTATCACGGTTTTTGTTGATGTATAACGTGTTATAAGTATCTAATGGATATTGTGATATGATTAATTTGGAATTTATTATAGGTACCTATTATAGGTCAATTTTTTGTTTAATACCATAGATATGTATATAATATGTCTTATACAGTTATACATAGACTGACATACCGTCACCGCTCAGAATCGTTTTTCTTATACAATGATATTATATCATTGAATTCAAATTTAATACCATCCATTATACAGTGACCCACTTGTAACCTACTGTACAGCAGAGCGACACCCACTTGCCCACCTTTTTTTTTTTATTAATATCATAATTATTACTATTAAAAATAAAATAACGAATGCATAAGACGTCTTTTATATATGAGTGCGTGGAGGGGTTCAAAATAAATTTTTACAAGGGTGGAAATATGATAAATGGCCAGGAGCGCTAATGAACATTGCTACGGCTCTGATGATGATGTTTCAATGGTAACTATAATAATCTAATAATAATGATAATACCAAAAAGTGGATGTCGCTCTGCTGTACAGTACCTAGGTTACAAGTGGGACGTGAGTCAATGTATAATAGATTGTATCAGTGCCATAGCCAGGATGTTTTTCGGGGGGGGGGGGGGGGCTATAATATTTGCTAGGGCTAGGGTACTACAGGATTTTTAAAAAAATTATATTTTAATACCTTTAATTTATTTTAATTTATTTTCAATTTACTCATATAGATGAGAACTATTAGGTATAAATGAAGTCAATTAAATAATTGTAATCATAATTAGAAGTTCAGATTTTACCAACTTTGATAATAATAATAATAATAATAATAATAATTATAATAATAATAATAAAAAAATAACCAAGGAAATAAATAATTAAACAACTTTACTGTTTATAATTTAAAATCCAATCTTCTTTCTTTTTTGAAGCAAACATATTAATAATTACTTCAGAATCAATATGGAGATCTCTGTGCATGTTCATCAGCGCTAAACCATTTAGTCTTGTCTCACCAGTAGAGTTCATTAAATAAGGCTTTATTCTTTTTAAAGTAGAAAAACTTCTTTCGACTGATGCAGTTGATACTGGTAATATAGATAAAATTTAAAAAAAAAACATTTATATTTGGAAACAGCTCTTCTGGACACTTTGGTAATGTACCCAAGGGATTTTTTGGAATACAATTTTTTTTACTTGACCATTTTTGTTTCCAAAATTCAAATTCATTTTCAAGTAATTTGTAATTTTCTTTAACCAAATCTTCTTCATAAAATGAAATTGCTGGTTGTAAGTCGTTGAATAAAGAATTTCCATTTTTATTGGGTAGTATACATGATAATGAAATAATAGTATTAGAATTTGTTTGGAATCGTTAATTAAATGATGCAAGTATATCATCTAAATATACATAAAAAATTGATTGCCTATAATAAGAAGCGTAGTCATTATTGTGTACTTGATAATTTTCTTGGTGCTCTTGAGTAACTACAACTCATGGTATAACTGGAATTACTCCAACGGATTTACCAATTTCACAAGCATTGATGGGAAATCTCAGTAAATGTTTCTTTGTTTCTTATATCTTCAAGTTTTTGAGTTGTTTCTTTTACAGACTCTGTAGCAGTAATTAGATCTAAATTTTCCGTTTGCAAAAATTTTGAGATAAAATAAGTCAAGCCAAGGACTTTTTCCATTATACATATTGTAATTATAAATGAAAAATCACATAAAGATTTATGTAAAGATGCAACAACTTTGTTATTATCTTCTGACATAATTTCTTCTAATGCACATACTATTTCATAAAAACCCTCAACAAAAATCAAGATGGACTCTTGGCGCTTCTAAAATATACAATTTCTGAATTTCCAATTTGATATTTCGGGGAGGGGCTTAAGCCCGAAAGCACCCCCCTAGCTACGGCACTCATTGTATTAAACTTGAATTCAATGATATAATATCATTGCATAAGAAAATCGATTCTGAGCGGAGATGGTTTGTCAGTCTGGATTTTTTATATTGTTATTATTTATTATATACTGTATATTGAATTAATATTATAATTTTTAAATTTTTTATTTGTTGCTATGCTTAGCAAAGCGTTTGAAATTAAATCCTATTTTTAGCGTTTTTTCATAATTTGTCGGTAGTTTTTCCCTTGGCATTAAATGACCTCTCTAAAGTACCATCTTGATCCAATTTGCCAAAAGATAATGTACCTAGGTACCTACTGTATGTTGAAATCGAAGAACTCCTTCTGGTAAAACCTTTGTATACAGGGAAAAAAATGAAAAATAAACACCATTGTAAAACCACTAGCTTCCTCTCTCCGCTCAGAATCTAAAATAACAACAATAGAACATTCATAATAATATAATAAACATGATTTATGGTGTTATATTAATAATAATAATAACACTTTTGTTGGTGTCGGTTTTTGTGTGGCACCCAGATCCCACGACGCAAAATCTACAGGATCACAATCCGCTCTACTTTACGTTCCATGAGCAGACGAGCCATCAACAGATCACCAAAGCAATCATATTGTGGTTGTACAAGAGACGGCTAGACGTGGTAATCGACGACCAGGTTGTCATGATTGATGTATATAGAGTCGACACAAACAACATGCACCAATCGATAGTAGCCAATATACAGGTGAGCAGCCTCTACGCTATGACCCTAGTCTAATTGAGTGAGTCGCAATCGATTTCAGCAGACAACCGATACATACTATACGATATACAATATTGTAATCGATGTATTATATAAATATAATACTATTAAATAGCAGCGAGCATAATAATATATTATATGTGATTCCTGATTATAATATAATGTCCACCTGTTTTTATTTTGTAATGATTTGTCACTTTTTACGTGTTTACAGCTCGTGGTCAACACCACCGAACCGGGCTGGGTCTCTATTGACTTACAGAGGATGTCCGACTGGTTCATGACCACTGACAGGCCAAATAACCTGACGCTAGTGGTGCACGCGTACTACGAAAACAAGAACATCACGCACGTAAGGACGCCATACGTAACGGACGCCAGGAATATAGAAGACATAACTGAGGTACGTTATAATAAATTTATTATTACACTCACCAGCCATACGTTGTATTATTATCATATCAATTTTCTTGATACAAGTTCCACAAGCGTTACAATTCATCATGTCAAGCTTTAGGTACTGTTATTTATTTATTTTCAACAATCGGTTGTAATTTAAAGATTGCTTCTGCAATAATCCGTTTAATGTCTTCACACGTGAGAGTGCAATACATAGGGGAAGCCCGGGATAGTTGAACAACTTCTTAGAAAACTAAATATAATTTCTTTCGTCATCAATATAGAGAAATGTAGTTGATGTTTCAAGAAAGCATTGGCTAGGCAGTGGCGCCAAAGCTTTTTAAAATGTGGTCAGGCAATTTCAAAACTTCGAGGCCTCAATATCTTAATTATTTTAAAAACCCTATTGCCGTAAAAAAAAATATCAAATTTGGGTGAGAGGAGGTGGTAAATAAAAAATTACATCAACTAATATGTTGTACGTATACAAATTGTATATTAACAGTCAAACGGAATTTTGAAATGTTTTGTTGCCACATTAATGAGTTTATGGAGTGATAATGTACGCTATGATTCAGCTGTTTTCTCAGTAGCTCGAAGCTTAAAAAAGATATGACTAAATGAGCGGTGGGTCATATATCTCCCTGTTAAAGTACCCCAGACTCCCCCTACATTAAGCCATTATAAAACTCGGTATTATCAATATCAGCTACTATACCATGTTTCAATGTTATCATCTACGATCGATGAAAGCTAACAGCATAGGTGAGCATTATAGGGCACTGGGCAATTTGTTCTAGAAAAACAAATATTTTTTTGAAAAACGATGTTATTGGTAAGTACAACCCTTACGAAAAATTGGTGTACCCAGCCCAAACACATATTTATATAATATACACCACGGTGTATACGTAATGAACTGTATTGTCATAATGTTTCACCATACTCCGCGTGCTCAAAAAAAAAGTGGATCAACTTATGGCGTACAGAGTATACGCGTTGTTTGTTATAATTATTTATAAAATATGTTATACTATAATCGAAGGTCGGAGAAATAATATGCACCTCACCCGACGTTATACTATAGTATAACGTCTTTTATATATTATACGAAATACTAATCTCGAAAATATAACGTCATAGTAAGCGCCACAGGTATGATGGCAATATGAAATAACGGAAAAACTTGAGTTGGGATAGATATTTTATAGCTTAAACTAAATACGAGTTGGCTCCGTGGTACTGTGGTATATTTTATATAAAATTAAAATTAATATTAATTATTTAAAGGCAGGACATCGTATTTATAGGTACCTATACTTCTTAGTTCCTACCCAGTACCCATACTAATGCATAGGTACTTGCCCTGGGCCTGAACCGTGAAAAATCCACCCCGAACACTCAAGGAACCAACACTCAAGTACCCCGGCACCCACATACTTACCACCAAAATTTGATTCGTGTGGGTTTTTGTGCAGATCCCGTACCTGGAGGTGCACACGGAAGACGACCATCAGTCGCGGTCCAAGCGCTCCGTTCCGAGCGAAGATTGCGTCGATAACCTGGAAGCCAATCGGTGCTGCCGACGCCCGCTGACGGTGAACTTCGAGGAATTTGGCTGGAGTTGGATCATTGCGCCCAAGAGGTACGAGGCCTTCTACTGTTCTGGAGAGTGTACGTTGGAGCCTGTTTCAAATAAAGTACACTCCCGCCTCGTCCAGCTCACCAACAAGTTGGGAAACGGACTGTGTTGCGCTCCCCGCAAGATGAGCAGCATATCCATGTTGTATTTCGACATAGATTTGGAAATCGTCTATGGAACGTTTCCCGGCATGGTGGTAGAGACGTGCAGGTGCAGTTAGAAACCAACGATATAAACGCCGGCCGCAGCGACCACGCGTTATTAATATTTAAATATTTTTAATGAATAATAAATAATAATGATATGCAAAAATATTAAAATGTTACTATTACTATTATTATAATTATATATTTCATCCCAATTGCATATTGCATACCTTACTATGTTTATTATTTATGTATAATATAGATAATAAATATAATATAATTTAATATAGGTATAGATATATTTTTAGTGTCTTAATTTTGTATTTTGTTCGTTCGTTTGTTTTACTATCCGTTTTAAAATTATACTCTCTAATCAAACGTAGGTATCGATACCTACACATGCACTGCAGAAGTTTGGATACGGTATTTTTTATCATTTAAACCCCGTCGAATAGACGCCATTTTTAATGCACGTTCAGTCGTTTTACGAAGACAGTGAAAATGATGGTGTGCGTCTCGTACATTTTCATATTATACACGATATCGGGTTCTTATATTATGTAATATTATAATAATATTATCACGAAATCTTCGATGTTTCTGCGACACAAACCACTAGTATCTGTCTGGTATGGACATTTTTAATACCTAGTAAATGTTCACACTATATTATATATTATATATTATATATTATTGTACCGAAATCATGTCGACGATCTAACTTGTAATATTATATTGTACCTACGATATAATTCGAGAGTGAAATTGGTATAGGAGAAAACAATACGAGGATTCTATCCGTCCGTGGTCAATAAACACCCGACACCAAAACCTTCAACAACAAAATGCATATTAGGTACATTATACATCGATGACTCTTTTTCAATTTTGGTAAATTTTTTTCTAATTATATAATATTAAGTATAATAATCTAATTTTTTACACAGTGTTCAACGAGATAACTGAAAAATATTGTAACTTGAAAAATGAACTTTTGAAGAAGTTTATTTTCTATCTCAACTTTAAACTTATCTAGTTAAATTCTTTTTTGTTAACTTTTGACTTAACTGAAATCAATTTCACTGAATTAACTTAACTTGCCACAGTTAATTATTTTAATTAACATGCCCACCTTTGGTTTTTAATTTTTATAATATAAAATTTATATTATAAATAATCATTATTATGATTTTCTTTACAAATATAAACGATTCTTGCAGTATTTAAGGTAGGTGAGTACCTACAGATACTTAACTGCAATATATATATTAAATATTCAAATATCACATAAAATGTAGTGACTAATGAATAATAATTTATTTTAACCAGTACCTCGACTTCATAATATATTTTACAATAATTACATTCATATAAATACATTATTATTACTATCTGAAGACATTTTCTCCAGTTTTATTATCGTCTTATATTTTTAAAACAAAAAAAAACTGTATTGCATCTTGTATTTATATTACTATAGTCATTAGTCTACCTATCTACAATTATACTTTTTCTTTAGGTTTTCTTCTGGTTCTCACCTAGCTGGCTAGTTACAGGGTGGGGCAGTGACGATGACGTATAAATGGGGGGGTGGGGGTCGGGATAAATCCCACCCAAGGACAAAAAAAACCAATTTTTAAATCGTCAGAATGAAAAATATAAGGATTTTGTAAATTTTAATGGAATCACAAAAATATTAATTTTTTGTCCGAAGAGGTAAAGATACAAATAAATTGTTATTATTTGTTGTACCTATAGTATAATAATATTCAATATATGTCTATTTTAGATTCTGGGCGGAGCGATGAATGCATTGATTTTATATTGATGTATGTTTTATTTTTTATTTGTGTCTGTGTACAAGTTAAGTAGTCGAAATAATGCTTCAATTTTCAACTTCAGAATCTTGTTCGATGGGAAAGTGAATCTAGTTGGGGCAGAGGTTAAATTAATAAATTCTGAGTAATTTTAAACGCACCGAAAAAAATAAATTAAGGAATAGGGAATTTTCACTCAATGATTTTCGAAAAAATTTGGTGTAACGTTAAACACATAACTGTGAAATTTTAACTGGTTGTTTATATAAACATTTTCTATACATGATACAATTTTCAAAATATTTTGATGTGCTCTGAACTACCTATATCCAGTTACCAATTTTTTTAGTTTTTTTTTCTATGAATGTCAATAAAATTGTATTTGTTGGGTAAAAAAGCTTGAAAATTTAATTCAAGACTCTTAATATATTAACATATTAAAAATCCATCGACAAAATTTGTTTTATAAGCATTTAAAGTTCAAATGTTGACAAAACACGTAAACATCACGAAAATGTGCAAATTGAGTTAGAAATTCATAAACATTTTTCTTTTCAAATTTATGATTTGAAAATTTAATACAAGATTTCTTATATGGTTGTCTGCCTTTATCAATAAAATAATCTCTACCAAAAAGTCACATTACATTTTTATGAGAGTTAAAGTTCATATTTTTGCAACATTGAATATTCACTCGATTTATCATGTAGGGATTTTGTTATTTTGTTGTAATTCAAAAACAAATAACTGTAGACACATAAAAAATATACTGAATATTTAAATTCTCATTTTCTATGAACCATAAAATTTTCAAAATATTTTGACTTGTTTTGAGCTGTTTACAGACAATTTAAAATTTCAATTTTTTTATAGTTTTTTTTCTATGAACATCAATCATATTTTATCTGTTGGGGAAAAAAATGTAAAAATTTAATACAAATATTAAAAATACAAAGGCACAATTTTTTTTTTTAAGTATTTAAAGATCGAATTTTGACAAAATTTATCAAATTTAAAATTGAACAATTATTTTGTAGTTAAAAATGTATAAAATGTTCAACTTTTATATTTAAGGATTGAAAATTTAAAACAAGATTCCACGTAAGTAGTTTATTCTGTGAACAAAAAATATAAAAAAATACATAAGCACAGTTTATTTTTATAATCATATTAAGTTTAAATGTTTGACGAAATTACATATTAAAAAACCCTAGAATAACTATTTTATTTATTTTGTTGTGATTGTATAATATTATTCATAGGTAATTGTAACTTCGAAAGTATAGTATTACATAATATATAATATTTGATAGTAATATAGTATCACGATTTTTTGTTGATGTATAACGCGTTATATGTACCTAATGGATATCGTGATATGATTAATTTGGAATTTATAATTTATTATAGGTCAACTTTTTATTATTTATGTCTTATACCTAGACTGACATACCGTCCTCCGCTCAGAATCGTTTTTCTTATACAATGATAGGATATCATAGAATTCAAATTTAATACAATCCATTTTACAGTGACCAACTTTTAACCTACTGTACAGTAGAGCACCTTTTTTTAAGTTGATTTCAAATGTTTAATAAAAGTATTATTACAAAAATGAGTGTGAACTGTAAATGTTTTAACAACTATGGTCTTTAGTCTTTGATATAACATATTGCATTGGGTGAAGCACCCTGATAAACATATATAGGTACCTATATTATATTATTTAATCCCTCCCATAAGACAATTGAATGTACGCCACTGTATATAGGTACTTACCTATACCTAATCTGCTATACTACTTTTGTTATGCATCGATTATTAAAGTTTTAACTATAATATATCTACACTTTAACTGGGTTTTAAGTAGTTTTCTGTCCTAAAACTAAAAACATGATTATTTCGATTACTGTGATCTGACAAACTGTCAATAACTACAGTATTATAGACGTTAAATTCTTAATATATAAATAAATTAATGAGGTTATACCTATATAGTAATAACTTATAAAACATCAAACATTCAATGCAGAATTGACTATTACGAAAATTGTATATGATTTAAACTATCATTTTATGGTACCTACCTACTATTCAGTTTTATTTGTCACATTTTAAGTACATTCATATTTATATTATGTTAAATTCCGTTTTGGTTAGAAAACTCTATGTCTCTATTGGTCATCAGAATCTGAATAAAAGTACTATTAGAGGGAAACAAGGTGGTTAAAATACTTGAAAAATCACACTTTATGCGTGAGTTAGAAAAACTGATATTATAAAATAATTTTAGTACTTAACATAAAAAAAAAATTGCAATCTACCATACATTTCTTAGTAGGTTCGCGATGTTTCTAACACATAAAAATGAATTAAAATCATTTAAAAAATTCAGTAGTTATGATTGTATAGTTTATTAATATGTTGAGTATTGAGTTAATCAAAATGTTTTTCCTGAACATTTAAAATTTTAAAACGATATATTATTTTATTGTGTCGTAAATCGTAATTTATTCTTCAACCTAATATTCTTGCATGTATGTATGTCATCTACTATAAACTCCTTGTATTTTAAATACCCTATTAAGTATAATTTATATTATACGGATTTTAATAACCAACATCTTATTTAATTTTCATTAACTTTTTTTATAATAATGTCATAATTTTGTCATGAACTACAATACTTGTAGCATATAAGTTTTATTTTTTCTTACATTTTTGTTGATGATTTAATATCTTGTCTTCAATTTATTCTAAATGTTAGAATAAGTATCCTACAATTTATTTATTTATTTTTTAATTTGTCACTTCAGATACAACGTATACCAGTGATAGACAATGTTTTTATTGTTACCGTAAATTACCACATAACACTTCTTACCTAAACAAACATTTTCAAATTGTAATTGAGTTCAAAAAAGGTAGGGTCCAAATTGTATTACATATATGTCTGATCATTCCATCTTAAAAATAAATAATAATTTCAGTTGACAGTTGCTTTACATAATATAATGTGGTATGAGACATGAGTCGATCAATTTAGTATTAGAAATTTAGAATATGGTAACCACGTAAGTAATGGCCTATTACAATGCCGTTAAAACGTATACTACACGACGTTCCTACCTAATTTATAAATAAACATTAAGTCATATTATTATATTTTAGGTATTTAAATTTAAACTATTGATTCATTTTGATTTATCTTTTTTTACCAGGATGCAATTCGAAAAAAATAATTACAATTTAACCAC